CTCTGGTTTGTTGTGCTGCCAGGTAGAGAAGCGAGGGACAGCCTCGCCCACGTTCATCAGCCTCCCGAAAGGCCACCTGGGCTTCCGCAGCCCAGCACTCTCTGGGCCTTCCTCTCTCCGTTAAGTGGCTGAGACTGCCCTTGTTCGGTGGGGTGGATGGATGTTATTTCCAAAGCATGCAATTCATTTCAAGAGGGGGGAGAGAGAGGTTTGGGGTGGAAATATTTTTCTATTGAGAAGAAGAATTAAATATAAATGGAAATAATGTTTTCATGAAAATGTTTCCATATTTCGGCATTTCCCCGAAGCACTCTGTCTGATCGCAATGCCTCACAGGACAGTGCCACATTAGAAGGAATGAAGACAAAATGAGTTTAAATAAAATTGAAACTGACCAGCCAGGCTTTATTTATCCTCCCAATCCGATGAAACAACTAAGCAAGAGAAAAGCCACAGATGCACCAAAACAAGAAATAAAAAGCAACTCCAGGAAAACTGTAAACCCAAGCGACAGTGCCAATTTTGCTATAAAATTTCTAAAATCTGGCTTATTTTCAATGTCCACGTGTCGGTGGCCATGTGATAAAACCATGAAGCCAAAGAGTGAATGAAGTTGGTTGTTTTTTGGTTGGTTGGTTGTTTTTTCTCAACCAAGAAACCCATCGGTATTTAGTTATAGAAGATGACTTCCTTGTTTTATAGTTCTTCAGTCATTAGGAGTATCTACTACTTGCCAATAATCAACATTAACAGCTCCAGAAAATGTCTGCAATTTGACAGCTGGTCTAGCTGATCGTGTTGCATTTTTCAAAAAAATTCACTCACCCCCTAGATGAACCCTAAATATGACAAGAAAAATGAAATGTGCAGGTCTTAATGTCCCTCATCAAGATAAACACAGACTTTCAGAGGGAAGAATTCTGTCAATTAATCATGTGTCTAGATTTGCACTGTCTAGTCAGTGGCCACCTGCCAAATTTGGCTATTCCAATTTAAATTAATCTGAATTTCACCTCTCGGCCCCACCAGCCACATTTCAGGTGCTCTGATGCCCCATGTGGCTAGCGGCCACCTCATTGGACAGGTCAGATATAGAACAACCCTTCTGTCCTCACAGAAAGTCCTATTGGACAGCTCTGGTCTAGATGAAAGAACAGAGCCATGAGCTTGGGGTGTCTGTACATTCGTTTTAAAAGATGCATGCAGAATGGTCTCCCTGAATTTTGAGGTCACTTTGGAGTAGCGACTTAGACACACCTGGTTTCCTTGAGTAACTTCAAGGACAAGCCAAGAAAAGCACAATATATGCTGTCTCCTCAGCATCACCTCTTGTTTACTTTCAACTGTACGCCCCCTCTTCCCTCTCAACAGACCCACTCACCCAACACTTGATTCCGATACTGCCTCTCGGGAATGGAGTTCGTGGCCGGCAACAAGGCAAATCATTATTTTCACATAGAAAGACCTTCCCAAGATACACTGACATATTAAAACGCATAGCAGGTATTAAATATGAAGACATAGGGCAGGCTGCCCTTCCCCCTGTATGGCCATCATCACACTTCTACTTATTTCACGTCCGAGCTCCCTGCCCATCGCTCAGCTCCACACGAGCAGAAGGCACGTGTTCCTCTGCTTGCTGTTGTCCACCTGTTACAAGCACAGTGCCTGGGACAAAACAGATGCTCAGATTTTTGTGGAATGATTGAATGAAACTTAAGAAGAATGGTATTTTGCTAAAGAACAGCAAACATCCTTTCGGAGCCTGGATCCAATTCTTTTTCTATTTGGATAGCAATCCGCCCTTTATTTTCAGACACAAACCTAAAATAACCTAGCGGACTGATGCATGCAGGCAGGCATGCTCCAGTTCATTGTCGTCTACACTCAGCAAAGGCATAGCCCCAGCCTTTGACATAGGCTATCGCCTCTGACCCTTGCTCTGATATTTTGCCCGCTACAAAAAAAAAAAAAAAAAAAAAAGAAGAAGAAGAAGAAGAGGAAATCGAGGCTTGGGAAAATTAGCTGAGCCCAAGGTGACTAAGCTGTGGATAGATATATGGTTTGAAAAGCTCCCTTGGCAATGAATATGGACCCTGCCCATCATAGTTCCTGACTGTACAATTCCTGCTGGGTCAGGGAAACCCCATCTTGGTACCCCCAGCATTTAGCACTGCACCTGCCCTGAGGCATCCTCCAAATGTTCTCATGGCATCTCTGTTCCACTGTCCTAATGGCTCAGGGCTACCCAGGATGGGGAAAGGTACCTACCTGGGTCACACCCCACCTCCAACAATGATGGGGCGGACCCACCGCGACCACTGAATGGCAGGCTCCTGCTTCCGCGGCATGGCCACCCCGCATCAGGGGCCTGCCACCTCGTGTAAACTGAACTGACCACTGCGCAGCAATTCAAGTGTTACCATGGTCCTCCATCCTCAGAATTCCACCCGACAACTCCATCGCTTTAAAAACGCACTTGACAATGATTCGGTGAGGGCCTAGTGGGCGCTGGAAACAACTGTCTTCAGGGGCTCCGACTTCTTCCTGTTTGGCCCAGTTCAGAGGAGGGCTTCTAGAACCTCTTAAGTATTCATTTTTACTTAAAAAAAAAAAAACACTATTCACAAAGCAACAGGTTCTGAATTGATACACATGAAGAGCTCATGTTTTGTTTAATATTTATAAAGAGCTTGCCAAATGGGACACAAAAGGGCAAAAGTATAGCACAGGGCACCTGTCCTCATGAAGGAAGGGTACGGGAAGATGAATCGGATTCCCCACTCAGTGATTTGGATGATTCTCGGCCACCCTCTCAGCGGTCCTGTAGAGTAGGTAATGTCTCCATCTATGGCTGGTAAAAACCGCGCTTACAACAGCGCACACTGACAGCGCCTCCTAGGCACGCACTCAGCGCCAAGCACAGTTAATCCTCACGGCTCCCCCCAGGGAGAGGTATTACCTCCCCTTTCTGCAGATGAGGAAAGACAGGCTCAGAGGGACAGTCACGTGTCTGGGGTACTGGTGTGTCCGGCCCCACGGCCCAGGTGCCATTCAGTGAGACTGACTTCGCCCAGACTGGAGAGGCACAGAAAATAAAAAATGAACTCAAGACCGCGGAGGACACCCTGCAGTGTCCCACAAGTGGCGAGGACAAGATTCACACGAAAAAAGGGTGAGGAGCACGTGCAGTGGGGTGGCCCCACGGAGGGTGGTTTCAAGTTGGTTTTAGAGGATGGCAAGGTTTGGCCGGCTGGGAGGGGTGCTCTGGAACTGGGGAGGCTGGGTGAGGAGCAGGGACAGGCACTCCACGTGTCCTGCAGGCATGGGAGGACCGAGCGGCCTGGGGGCTGGCAGAGTCACGGGCCCAGGCTGGGGGCTGGAGGAGAAGGAGGCAAAGGCAGGCTGCAGTCAGATCGGGAAGAGCTCAGGGCCCAGTCATGGGTGCAGGGAAGAAGGGCAACCCATCACTGGGTAGGGATTAAAGGCATGATTTCAGGAGATTCACCAGGTAATTCAAAACTAGTTTCCAGTCACTAAAGAGCAGACCAGCCAGGGCTCTTCTGCTTCCCACTTATTTGTACAGGAGAAAGCCACGTGGCTCCCAGATCAGCCTGCCCTGGCACTCTCCAGCAGGGAATCATGCTTGGGTTATTCAGACGTGACTTACTGGCACGTAGAGGCTGTTGGCGTGGAAAAATGAACAGGCTGACCTGGCCAGAAAAGAGCAGGTGACGCAGAAACCCAGCAAAAGATGAGCTCAGCGTGCCACCCTTAATGAGTAGGAGGCACACATGGAGGGTCCCAGACGAAAGACTGGGGAGATGATTTACCTGATCCTTGGGGTGGGGTGGGTCAGGGCCTTGGGCCCTTCCAGGGTCCCAGCAAGGAGCCAGGCTCACTCTCCTCCAACCCATTCCCTTCAGTCCTCACAACTGCTGCACAGCCTCCTGGGTTCCCATCTCAGGTGAGGCACACGAAGGCTCACAAAGGTGAAATGAATGGCCCCAGATGAGCCAGTAGGGTCAGGGTCTGGAGCACATGTCACCACAGCACAATTCCATGGTTCAGAGGCAGAACCCTGCCCCAGACCTAGCCTCTCCTTCCTGCTGTCACCTGTCACGAACAAGAACTGCTTCTCTCAAACCCTGCAGTGAAAGGTGGACCTATTCTAATAACAATATCCTAACATACATTAATGTGATCATGTTGGAAAAAAGACCCCTAGCAAGGGAGAGGGTACAAATGGACTGGAGGAGAGAGAGACCGAGATAGATTTAGAGACAAAGACCGAGACGGGTAAAGATAGAGTGAGAAAACCAAATCAGACCTGGTGGCGAACTTGAAATAGGACCTGTTTCCTGGGGCTTGAGGAGATCTGGAAGCTGCTCTTGCAAATCCTGGTGACCACATGCCACTTCTTACATGTATGTTTGTCATGTAACTTCCCTCCTTCCATTAACTATACCACCCCCAGTGCCCCACGGCTGAAAAGTTGCACAGACTGCAGGGCTTCCACGCCTGAAGGCCCCCCCTCCCCACAGCTGCCCCTCCAGGCATGTTCGTGCAATTCCTATAAATCCAGAGAGGGCCACCTCCTCCCTCAGGGCCAGTGACTCTGAACACGAAGAAAGCCTAGCCCCCACTCAGCCTCAAACCCAAACCTCAAAATCATAATTTTTTGACAGGGCTTCTCATGAAACAGCGCAAGCAAACCATCCCCATAAATAACTTTACCATTCATTTAAAGAGAAAGGTTATATTAGACTAGATGTCATTTGGAATAACAGCTCCTAAAAACGGGCATTTTGGAACCAAATGCCACATGCTGTATTTTGCCATTTTGCCTACGCTTTCTGCTTGGAGCCCCTGGAACATAACAGAGAAGCTTCAGACACTGGAGCTGCTCCGGGCCACGCAAACTCCACTCCGCATCTTCCAGGCAGCCCTGTTGCAAATAATTCATGTCCAGTACGCCCCTATCACACTGAATACAAGCACATTGTGCAGCTGGAAATGGGAAACCTGATTCAGATCACAGAAGAAGGTACAAAAACACCTAGTTGAACACAATGCTGCCTTTTTTTAAGGGGGGAGGGGGCATATCTCACACCTGAGGTATGGGGAAAGGAGTCAAACCCCATTTTGTAAGAAAATGCAGAATTAAAATAGCCTTCAATGCATGCGTCCCAGAACAGCAACAACAAAAAACCGCCCGGCGCTTCCAGAGCTGCGCCAGTCCCCGCGGCAGCGCTCCTCAGCAAAATCAAGGTGGCCCGTGCACGCGACTTTAAACGGAAGCACGTTCTCCGTGGAAAATGGTGCGTGTTGAAAGCATGACTTGTCCCACATGGACAGGCATAAAGGGGTAACGAGGCTGATCACAAGCCAGCCTCCTCTCCTCTGTGGACCAGAGGGAGGAAAATAGGGGGAAATAAGGCAAAATCGGTGCGTGCAGGCACGGGCAACGGAGGGCTGGGCTGGGTGGAAGGCTCTGTGCTGCAGGATTTCGGTCAACAGCAGCCTGTAATGGCCACTGTTAGAAGGGAAAACAGACATGGAGGGAAACGTGTTTACAACCGCAGCAGCAGCAGCACCAGCACCAGCAGGCGGGAGACAGAGGGAGGGAGGGAAGGAGGGGAGGGATTCCCCGACTTTGCGCTCAGCCCACACCGCTCCGATGGGGCCCCCCGGGCTGGGTAGTGCTGCGGCGCCCCCATCCCCCGCTTTATTGGGGGGGCCCCCACATCTTGTTTATGGGGAAGGTTACTCCTCCTCCGCTCTGGTGATCGAGTCCTTAATACTCGGGCTGCATCCTTGCGGGATGCCCGCTTGACTGACAGCTGCCCCAGCCAGTCATCGACGGGCCCTGGGAAAGGTGGACTTTCCCAACGAGTCGATTGGACGGTGGGGAGGGCGGGCCTTCGTGATTGGCGTGCTTCTCGGAGTAGAAAGTAGTAAACAACCTTGGTCCACAGCGGCGGCTCTGAAGGCTCGGGATGCCAGCTCGCCCATCCTCGCCCCGGGTGGAATCGGGTGGCTGTCCACAGGAGAGACAAAGGGAACCCACAGCGGGGTGACAACGAAGGGTCTTCCGTAAGCGTAAACACAAGTGGGCGTCCTTTAGAGCCCCTGGGCGAGAACTGCTGACTTGCAGCTTCCATCATTTTCGTTCTGGGGAAAACCACGAAGGTTTTGTTTCCACATTTTTTCACTGCTCTTCTTAGGGTTTAAAAACAATCAAAAGGGAGCGAGAGGACCCGCCCTCTTGCACCCCCACCTTTAAGTTAATTTTTAGGTGTGTCTTCTCAGTTGTTTTACATCCCTGTACTAAAAATTGTCCCCTTACACAATACACCGTTAATGGCAGGGCGGTGAATCAGATGCCCTGTCAGACCTTTGCACTGCAAGTTTCCCAAGCTGTGACCTCCGTGGAAAAGGGCCCTGGATCGGACGCATATATAAAAAGAAACTGAGATGGTGGCGTCAACGGCACTTGACAGGAAGTAAGCAGTCAATTTGCATTTTCCAGGGAGGATGTAATTTACCCGGGATACCCCATTGGACGGCAATGCCCCATCTGCTTGGACTTGAATCACAATGGATTCTTCCTTCTGCCCTTACCATCCTCCTAGGGCCTCAGCAGAGAAAACCTGCAGCTCCCAGCGAGGAGGCGCTGTTCCCCAGGAAGGTGTCCTCACCTGGGAGGTCTGCACAAACCACCTTGCTGAGCTGGCAAAGGGCAGGGAAGTAGGAGGAAGCTGGACCCAAGAGGGACCTCCACTGAGTCTATACTGTGAGGACAGGCTATGCTGTCACCTTTGGCCAGATGGCCATCCCATCCGAGCTCTGAGCATGAAGAGAGGTGGAAAGGACTCCTTACAGGATGCCACGCTGGACAAAATGGCCGCCTGGGGGGTCCTCTTTGTCACCACCAGGCCCATGTTCTCCTTCAGCCTCTAGTGTCGGCCTCGCCCCAAGTAAACTCGCATCCCCTTGAGTCACCACTCTGGCAAAAAACTTCCGCTGACTCAGTACAGTCAGTCCCCCTCCATCCTTCCAGCCTGGCCCCAGCCGCCACGCATGCAGCCTTCTCCCGTCCAAGCACCCCTCCCTCCAGCCGCTCTGTCCCACCAGCTGCACACACCCCACACTCAGTGGTTCCTCTGCTTTCCAGGCCTGACCCCTGCCTGCCCAGGAGAGGCCAATGTTCTCTGTGGCTCCCCCTCTCCCCCCAGAACTGTTCTGAAATCTGCAGCACGGATGTCTACATCTCTGATGGCGCTCCCTACACTGTTCTCACCACGCCTGCAGGTCCCTCTGTCTCACCAGACCCTGAAGGTAAGGGCTTCACAGGTTCTGATTGTATCTACCTGAGACTTAGGCCCACAGTACGCATACCCCAGACTTGCCAGCTATTTGCACTCAGTCCTCACCCTCTCTGCCCCGCTCCCCACACCTCCAGTCACTTCCACCCCTCCTCCTAGCTGGCTCCTTGCTAAGGCGTCCTCCCAAGCCCCCCAGCCAGAGCCCCTGCAGCTCTGGCTTGCGTCCATCTCTCAGTATTTCCTTCCACACACGTGGCTCTCCCTGCTCATCCTGTTTTCTCTGCTAGTTCAGTCTCCTGCCTTTGCTCCTTGAAAATTCCTATTCTGCCCCCAAACCATTTCCCACCTGGGGCAGACCTACAAGCCCCACCCTATCCCCTTGCCAAAGCATCTCGGAGAAAGAGGCTTTGGAGTGTCCTCTCCTCTCTGACCTGGACATAATCTCAGTGCCACCGCGGGCATGGTTTGCCAGAGAACCCTGGGCTGAAAGGCAAGTCCACAAGGTGGTGCCTCCGCTGCACCCCGCCCCGCCAAGCATCTACAGAGCCGACACATTCCTGTGTCCAGACCCAGAAGAGTGCTTCAGGCTGGCCCCTCAGTCAGGTCCCTTCCTGCTCTATCCCTGAGGGCTGGGTCTTGTTGGGTTATATTCTCCTAACTTTAGAATTAGTCTAATTGAGAATAAAAAACTGTTGGTATTTGGTTCACATTAAATTTATAAATTAACTTGAGGGGAGCAGACATTTTGATAACGCGGATTATTCCTGTCTAATGATATGGTATGTCGTTCCATTTATTCAAGTTGTCTTTTGCATTTTTAACAGCATTCAGTTTTCCATGTTAATTCTTATGTGCTTTCTCTTGTGTTCATTGGAAACAGAGTCTTTTCTTCTACAATATCTTCTAACAAATTATTAGCCTATGGTAGGATTGTGTTATGAAAAATCTGTTTATGCTATTTCTAACAGAACATGTTCTATTCTGTGCCTTTAGAAGAATACAATGGGGTAAAAAAAAACCCAAAAGTTGAATACTCTTAACAATAAATAAAACTTAAGATCTTAAGCATCAAAGTAACACAATTTGTGTTGGCATGCACCAAACAAACAAGGCGAAGGCAGGACTCTGGCAAAGGGAAGATGGTATTGCTTAAGCTTCGGACCTAACGAGAGTCAGAGAAGTTAGGAGAAATACACAGGGAAGAAATTAAGGACGGATCTCATGATTACAAGCAGCCAACCTCACGCTCTCCTGTGGGCTTGAGGAGCGGGGTACCCCCTTGGCCAGGCTGAGCGTACTAGCTGACAGCGTGCGCATCAAAACCAGCTAATCTGCAAGGAGATGGACCCCCGAGTGCGAACGCGCACTCGGTGGGTGATGGGCTCCATTGTCCGTGGGGGACTGACAAGTCAAGAAACTGTTTCCCTCACCTACATGAGTTAAAGATACGTACCTTTAGCAATAATCAAACTCTTGCTAAAAACATCCATTTTTTTTCAAATACAGAGATCCACAGAGCTGGGCAGGCACGAGGCACAGGGCTAAGACCCCCTTCCACGAAGCACTGGCTGTCCAGTGTCGCCGGCTGGCCGCCTCTAGCTGCTAGCACTTGGAGGGTCCCCTTGGGCTTTGGCCAATGTCATGCTCTTCTCAGGGCAGCCCCTGGCCAGTCACTGGGCAGGGCAGTGGTCCCAGGGCCCCACTGTATCCATCCGACAAGGATGTCTGTTGTGAGCCCCCCTGGCTCGGGCAGAGCCCTTGTCAGGCCTGAGTCCCAGTGAGCTGCAGGCATCTCCTTCTCCACCCACCATCTTCCTCCTCCTCACTCCCTTTCACGGGTGCTACTCCTTAGAAAGCTTTTGCATTCCATAGGAGACCCCGGCCTGCAACTTAGGTACTTAGCAATTTTGGAGGGGAGGGCGAAAGAGGGGACAAAAGTCCCCACGTCCTGGAGGACCAGGCAGTTCTGAGACAGAAGTGCAAAGACCTCAAAGCACATGAATGAGATTGACGTACCTCGAAGGCTGGTGTCATCACATTTTAGAATCCTCTAACCTCTCCTGGCTATCAGTGAGCGTTTACTGCCTGCTGGGTAGTAACGCAGCTTGTCTGGCGAAATTTATCCTCCCATGCACCATTTCTATGTCACAGGTAACTTACACCCAATTTAAATGAGTGCTGGGACCCAGGTTCAAGTGTAGGCACATCTACTTGGTTCCCAAGCCTGCCCTGTTCTGGACGGTGCCCTGTCCGACACTCTTGGTTTCTGAGTACAGGGTCACGAGCTGCTGTGGCTTAGGACTGGCAGGTCAGCGCTAGGTTCTTCCACACCCGTGTGAAGGTGCCTCCCCGTAAACGATGGGGCTGTGCCTTCGTCTCATGAGCAGACAGAAGAATGGGGAGCCTCAGTACTAGATTCAGGGGACAGGGCTGCGCCCACCAGACACAAGGCATGTGTGCATTTGTTTACGCATAGTCCTGAAAGGCACGGATACGAGTCCCCTTCATTTCACCGATTTATCAAGCTGCTAAAAGCAACTGTGGGTGGCGGTAGAGAGGTTAGCTGGTGGTTTTCAAATTTTTTAGAAAGGTTTTGTTTTTACTTATTTTTACAGAGAGGGGAAGGAAGGGAGAAAGGCATGGAGAGAAACCTTAATGCAAGAGAGAGACATCAATCGGTTGCCTTGACCAAGGACTAACTGGGGACCGAACCTGCAACCCAGATGCGTACCCTGGCTGGGAACCGAGTCGGTGACCTTTTGCTTTGCAGAACGATGCCCAACCCATGGAGCCACACAGGTCAGGGCTCAAACTCTCTTCTTCAAGGCAGCATAAGAGAAAGAGCACTGCTTGTGCTGAACTGGTTCCCGGGATCCTCGTCTCCACACCTCTGAGACCTCCAGACCCCTGAGAAGCCCTGGCCGCGACATCCAGGGATGGACGGTGCCTCCGGTAGCACCCTGTGGTGGTGCTAAAGAAACAACCAACAGCCCACTTGTCAGTGGTGCTGCTGGGGACAGGGCTTCACCCTTCCGGTCCTTAAATCCCTCCCAAAGTAAAGGTCGGTCATGCGTAACCACATTACCCTTAAATTCTCTCCTAACTCGCTCATTAGTCCCAAGTGCAGCAAAGCCGTGCTGGGAGCCTTCGCCCTGGCGCCCCTGCCGACCCCCAAAGAACGTGGGCAGAGACAGAGCCAGCCCAGGTACAGAGGAGTTAACGGACAATGGTAAAACTGCCAAATGCCACAAAATATACGTGGATCATTGGCTTGGCGACTGGGGTGGTTGTATATTTTCAAGGCCATTTGAAAGAGCACACTCTGATATCACTGTCGGTGAGGTGGTGGGGAGAAAAGTATAGGTAATCCAAGAAAGTTTCTTTCCTTTGACTGATACCGAAGAAGCTCTAGAAAAATTAGCATTTCTTGGGGGAAAAACATCGATGAAATGGAAATAACCCCTACCATAGTCATAATATAAAAGCACAAAATACAGTGGGCAGAGCAACCCAAGATGTTGTGAAACTGTGAGCCTGAATCGAGCTTCCCTAACCTCTTATTCTGCAAAGCTGCCGATTTTACAGTACAATTATTATTATTTTTGGTCAGTTAGGGGACATATGATATTCACTGCATCCACAACGAGACAAGAAAATGTCTGAGAAGAGTCTGAAGAACAGCCAGTTTTGGACCACGTACAGGCGACCGAGTGCTGCAGCTCTGCCTCCTGCCCGCCAGCCCCACTGCCTCCATCAGTAGACACGCCTTCGGAGACCTGAAGGGGGCATGTGAGGAGTCAGCCGATCCCTTGCAAAAACAGGGCCACACAGAGCCATCTCAACTCACAGCAGATCAGAGAGAGAGAAAGAGAGAGAAGAGGGAGAGCAGGGAGGAGGGAGAAAGAGGAAGGAAGCGAGAACACGTGGTGGGGGAGGCAGAGAGCCAGCCAGACTTGTTGCCCGAGTTCCATGCCGGCCGGCTCTGACCCTCGGCGGGGTAAGTGAGAAATCGCTCCGGGGCGCAATTCACAGGGGCAGCGGGGTTAACCTGCTCTGTGCGTGACACACACTCAAAGAGTATGAGAAGCGTGTCTGTTAATCCCTTCCGGACCCCCAGCGTTACTGAGCGCCTCCTGGACACGAGGTGCGAGAAGAGTTCACCAAGTCTGGGCCACTGCCCAGGTCCTTCCAAGGTCAACAAGCCAAAATGTTCATGGGAGCTTCACCCCTAGTGAGGTGGTGGGTATGCCTATGAACTTCACTGGGGCGGTCACTTCACCACGAGTAGGCGTATGAAAACATGGAGTCGTACACCTCAGTACAGATGGTCCCTGATTTTCTTTCATTAATGATGACTTAATAAAGGTCAGGGGAAGAAAAAGAAAGAAAAGACTGCTGTGAAGAGCTCGGGTGGATGTGGTGGGTGCCAAGGGCCTCCACGGCGCCTAATGAAGTCTTTCACTTCTGCGTTTCCCGGCTCTCTCAGAGGTCTGGCGGCGGAATTACTAATATTTTCAACAATGCAAATGTAATTATAGTTGAAGCATATTCTCTAACGAAAGGAAGAAAAGATTGGCATTTAGCAGCTTCATTAAACTTTTGGCCTTTTCAAGGCTAAATGACGCTTAGGGAAGAAATAAGTTCCCATTGGTCCATTTAAAAATGGGTTTCTTGCAAGTAACAGATCTATGAAGAGGGGGATCTTTAATGATGATGTCAACAGTCTCTCGCTCTCTCTGAGTATTTCAAATGAAAGAATATATCTCTCTCTACAGAGAAAATATATACAGTTACTCAGCAAAAGTTAATTTTCTATTTTCTAGTATCAAGAAAATATCAGTTACATTTGCACACACATAACTAGCTTGAGGGACTTACAAATAGACATGCCAGCTAGAAGTTTAGGGAAACAATGAATGTATTGATCTCAATGTAGACACACTCCCCCACCTCAGTCCCCCCAAAGACAGACAGACAGACAGATAGATAGATGGATAGATAGACAGATCAGTCAGCAGTAGAGTTATAAAAGCATCCTTGGATTGCAATAAAATACCCGGCCCTTGGAACACTCCTTTCGCCATGGTGCACGTCACCACGTACAAATCAGAATGATGTGTTAACAAAGTGTAACTCCAGCATCGCTGTCCCTTCGTCACTGTCCCTTTGTCCTTGCTACCTGTCCTTGCTCTGGAATTCCCTTTGCTCTTCAGTCTGGCAGCACGCTAACGTCCTTTCCCTCCCATGTGTGACAAGCACTCATTTCCCAGCCACATGGCCGCGTGTCCTACCTCACAGAGCTCCGTCTCCCTGCCGCCTGGACTTATCTAACGTGAACAAACAGATATTATTTACCGTCGTCAGAACGAGAATTATCCAGTGCCACTTACATCGCCATAAATTGATTTTTGATTAATGTTTAAGCAAAAAGCAAACAAGCCCATCTGCTCTGAAAAACAAACAAACAAAAGAATCGGTGGCAAGCGTGCACGGTTCACAGGAATTTCTTCAGTATTAGTATGTTTCAGCTGCTGGCGAGGATGATTTGATTCTTCGCTGCTGCGATGAAAAGGGGTCTCTGATGAGAATGTAATTTTGTATCTAGATGTAGTTTCTCCTCTAGCAACTGTTAATTTGATAGACTATTACATAGAGTTAAAAAAAGGAAAAGAAAAATAAAATGGAAAAAAAAAAGCAACCACTCTCCCCCCGAAGGAAGCCCTGAAGACCGTAAGGAGCAGGGAGTGCCTTCAGGGCCGCTGCCGGAAGGGCCACTCGCCGTGGCCCTGTGAAGAGTGAAGGCAGGGGAGGCATCCAGTCCACACGGCGAAAGCGAGTATTGAAACGGGGAGGCTTTGAAAACGTTTTAAACCATCTCTTGGGTGGATATGGAATTTCCACCCAATTCTGAGTTGAGATGCAACCCAGAATTGGCAAGATTAAGCCAATGACAAATAAGGGTGACAGAAAGGCTCCATCATACTCAGTTGTGTCATCTCTGGGGCTCGCTGGAACTGTAGACGGCAGAGCGTCCCTTAGGCAGGTTGCCGGCCAGCTCTGACGCGGTTCCAGAGATTCGTGCCTTCTATTGTACGGGTGAGAGACGATGCCACCGCATAAGCTGGAAGTTTCGCTACTACCAATGAGCTGCCAATAGTCTCATTTTCAGGAGGAAAAAAATGCTGAAGAAGAAACCGATTGGCCAAATTCTGAACAAAAAAATGACCAACGGGTTGGTGTCTGGAAACGGAGCGCAGGCCAGTGAGCCAACACAGGACACAGCTCACAGCTGCCGGGAGAAATTCTGAAATTCACTGTTCGACTGCCCGCACCCAATCCCCTACCTGATAATGAAAAAAAAAAACTGTCCACCCCATTTTCTGAGTGACATCTGCTGCCATGTGCTAATCACATCAAGACAAGAGTGCAATTGGGTTTTGATAGATTTTCTGCGAATGCTCACTCCCAGACCGCGAGAGATGCTGTCGGACTCGTCTCCGAGTGGCTGCATTTCCACGCTGCAAACCTCCGGCTCCCAGTAGAACACTCACGCGAACCCTCTTGCACCTCCCAAACCGACTTTGCGTCAGGGTTCCGTTCTCAGAGTCCCTTTCAGAACTGGGCTCTAAGACATGACACAGGCATGCACTGCCCTGGGGGCCTAGAGGCCTTGCTGCTCTTGGCCCAGACGCCAAGAGCGTTTCTGGAGGCCTGTTTCTGCTTCCGACAGGCAGCCGTGTTTGCTGCTTGGCTTCAGAAGAACGAGTGCGTGACTGCCCTGACCCTGTGAGAGAAAGACCTGAAACACTGTTACCATATTGATTACATCTAGCCTTTCCCGATTACAGCCCCGAGTTTCAGGATTCTTCCAGTAAAATGAACACCTTCATTGAGAGCGCCAGGTAAATAGAGCCAAGACTCATGGTGCCCGTTTTCTAAAGTTAGTTCCTGTAAACACTCCCCCGGCCCCCAAGCCCCCAACTGCAATGGCACAATGGGCCCGCTGCTGAGTGTGTCCTTGACCTCCAAAGGACAATACACTGTTTTGCTTTTAGTCCCCTGGCCCACAGCAAAATTGGTTTTCATAAAAAACTTTCTTTCTTATTAAGGGAAGTAAAGGAGTCAAAACTAAACAACACAGAAAAGTCAGCGTGCGTAGCATAGATTGCTAAGCTGAGATTGTACAGAAGTGGCGGGATGTCCCATCTCTCTCGTCTAGGGACAGAGATGAGGGGTCTATTCTGCAGTTATGCAAGGAGGTCATATTAAGGACCGTAACCAAAAACTTCCCAGCCGGAAAGTCAGTCCCATCCACAGGGGAAAACAAAACAAAACAACAAAACGCACAGAAAATTGCTCCTCAAGGCGCCTTAGAAGGAGTTCGTGTTCCCCTTTCCAGGCAGGTGGGAAGGGCCACAGCTGTCCTCCGGGAGCTGGCAGCTCAGAAGCAAACATACCGAAGTGCCGGTGGAGAAGCCCCTTTCCCAGAACCTTCCAAAGAGCTGGTGGACTTCTTGTTAAACCTACTAACACAGCAGAGGGCAGCCGCCACGTGCCTGGGAAGGGAAGTCCCCTGCAGCTCGGGCTCTGCCCCAGATGGAGGAGGAATGTGAACGTGGAAACCACACTGACACAGAGGAAAGAGAAGTTGCGGAGACTTTCAAAATTCTAACGGTTGCATACCACTCTCAAAATTCCTTCAGCCTCCACCCACCCCCGCACGGGCAAACCTCCCTCAACAATACTGCAGTCATCTGCCAGAGCCCCAGACAAACACTCTGTGCCCAGAACGTGGCTCGTAGAGAACTCAGCCCCGGCCGATGTCCAGCAAGTCACCACAGGATGTGGAGGCTTTGTCGCACGGGTCAGGTGCACAGCCTGGGGTCAGCCCTCTTCCTGGACCGCCCCACATGGGGAGCTGTGGGGAGAGCCGGCTCTGCACTCCTCCCTGTCTCCCTCACAGCCTAGTCCATGTCCCCTGTCCCCATGCCCTGCACCTCTTCCCCTCCTTTCGACCTGGCAAGCCTAACATCCAACTATAACTAAACCAAGGAAGGTCCGCAGGGCTTACCTAGGTCAACCCTTGGGGTGAACACCGACGTTAGAGACCTGTGGAGGCCTGCACACTGCGGAGAGGAACTTTTAAGCCACAATTAAATCCACCACCCCCACCCAGCTTCTTTGCAAGGGGGAAGAATGGAAAAAGATGGCTGTTTCTATTTCACAGGTGAGAGATGGTAAGAGTTCATGGTCCTACCATATTCCTGCCTACCAGTCACCCACACATGCGAGTAACAGTTGTGTTAGTGGTGTCTTCTCAGCAGAGGCTTTGAATCCAGTGTGTGTGTGTGTGTGTGTGTGTGTGTGTTGCACTCTTTTTCTCTTGTCCTGGGCCCCTAAGACTCCTGAGTTACCTTTGCCAAAGGATCCCATTATTTTTGGCCCCATGGAAGGCTGTGAAATAACTCAATACTCTCTCTTACACACACCGGCAAGTATTCAGGTGTGCCCCACTGGCCAGCCCCGCCCCGTGCACCCCAACAAAACCTCCCCCAAAAGCTGCTAGTAACAGTGACAGCATCCAAGTGCAGCTACACACACCCAAGCAAGCCAGGCTCACGCCTGCTGCTGTAGGAGGACGCCCTGAACGTCTCTTTCCCGTCAAAACCCTTCTATGTCTAGTGTGCCCTTGACCCCCCGGTGCCCGAGCCAATGGAAGCCCGGCTCAGCCAGGCTGGCTCCACCTTCAAGAGCCATCAGGAGATGCAGCCAAGGAAGGACGACGTTCGGACCCCTGACTAACAGCTGCTGGTCTGTTTGCAGACAGTTCTGGTGACCCCTAGAATTCAGTGTTTTTTCCAAAGTGGTATGTCCCAGTGGGACGGGCACTTCCTTGAACCCAGGCCTCCGTTCTGGGGGACTTGCATTGTGAATGAGACAGAGTGCAGCAGAAATAAGCAGGAGGCCAAGAGTTTTAGACAGAGTCTGGCCCTTTGGTTAAGTCCTTGCAGCAAAAGCCCGGAGTGTGGTGTTGACGCTGCAGCCCTCGTTTCCTTCCCCACACGTTCCCCTCCCAAGCAGAGGCCAGAGGAACTGCTTTCCCCTACTGTTCCCAAGAACGTTCCACTTCTGCTCTAGACGTGAACCCCGCTGCGGGCCAGGCACCACGGAGATGCCGAGGACACAGAAGTCAGTACCGGTTTGGCTGAAAAGGCTCACAATCCCTACTTTAAAAAAGGCCACAGGCGGGCCAAAGACCAAGCTGTAAACACAGCACAAACTGGTACATAGGACGGAGAAGGCACGGGCTCCTCCCTCTGGGGGAGGGGACAAGGGCCGTGGGGATGAAGAGCATCTTAATTAGGAGATGGCAGGGAGCGAGGCCTCGGAAACCCAGCAGAACCGACATCTGGCCACAAGAAACCAAACCCCTGATTTCAGGGTCCGTATTATTATTCAACGAGGATAATCCGAGCAATTACTAGAGTCCTCGTGGTCCAGCAGGCAAGTTCACTTGAGGACCCCGGCCGTGTAGGGAGCACGGACATTTTTTTGGCTGCCTGCAGCAAGCACGTTTATGAAAAACAGGTTAAGTCACTGGCTCCAAATTGCTTTGTAATAAAAAAAAGCAAACAAAAAAAAAAGCCTAAGCTTTTAATATTTTCTTTTTTTTTAAAATAACTGGAA